ACCTGACGGGATTTAGAACCACTTAATGGGGATCAATGATAAAAAGAGCACAATACCCCCATTAAAGGAGAACTATGAGGTGAGTGCCGACCTGTGACAATGAGACTGTCACAGGTCGGCTCAGTAGATCGGGAGGTGAGCGAACACATACCGGCGTTCGCTCACCTCGCAATCCTGTCACGGCTCTCTGCCGTGACAGGGGAGGGGGCGGGTACAGCTGGCTCTGCCTCTAGATAGGCAGAGCCAGCTGTCACTCACGCAGCTGGGCGGATCTCGAAATCGATGTCGGGATCCGCTCCGGCGTCTCAGTATACCGCGCGCTGTAGCTCGCAGTATACTGAGCTTTGGGTGACGGGAGGACGCTAGTTTGTGTCCTCCCGTTACCCTAAGGAGAACTATGGGGAAAAACACTGACCCCATAGTTCTCCTTCAATGCTAAACCGCACGGATGGGGGGAATCTTCCCTGCTAGCCATTGCATTTTGACAGCTGGCGCCCACCTGAACAGTGACTGCATCTGATTGGATGACAATTCTTGGCCCGTCTCCTGCAAATATGATTAAAATATTGACTTTTGCTGGATGGAGTTGTGCCGACGGGGCCGCCCACGGACCCAATCTTGTGCAGTGTATGGTCGGCTTTTATCATGGATGGAGGAAGGAAGGCAATCTAGCATAAGTAAGGGCCTCCTGCGTCTTGTTTGAGCCGCCTTGGTTTCCTTTCCATTCTTGCGCTTTGTCTTCTCACCAGAATGGCTTTGTGAACGTTCCGTGGTTTCCTTGATGCCTGACTTCTATTTCTCTCACTAAAATCAGAATTCTCGCTGGAACCGTAATAGAAAAAACCCAGAAGCAGCGAAGGCAGGCTTAGAAACGCGTTGGCGGTCGACTTCCTACATTGAGATTGCTAATCCTTGAAGCGTCTGGTTTCTCTGAATGTAATGTGTTATATTGTGTGTGAAATGAGATTGATGTGTCATTCTAGAAGCTGTGACGCCTGCGTTTTACTATCTGCTTGCTGAGGAGACGTTGTATTTCTTGTGGCTGACTCTGCAAAGTGTATCTTCATTAACAAGTCTTCCATGATTAATTATATATCGTCGCCTCTCAAATTCCATTCACATTCTCCCTCGTGATGCTCGGAGGTTTTTTTTTTTTCCAGAACTAAAGGGGACCTGTTGTCTTTTAAAAGACATTTGTTTTCCCAGTTAAAGGGATACTCCAGCACTGGGTAACATGAGCCGGCCCCTACTGGTCTGCTATATAAATACCAAGGGTGTTAATAAAATGAATGGCAGATTAGCCCACCTGACCTGATCCACAAAGCCACTGGGCTGCTAGACTGGTCCCCACACCCCCATTACCTGATCCACAAAGCCACTGGGCTGCTAGACTGGTCCCCACACCCCCATTACCTGATCCACAAAGCCACTGGGCTGCTAGACTGGTCCCCACACCCCCATTACCTGATCCACAAAGCCACTGGGCTGCTGGACCGGTCCCCACACCCCCCCGACCTGATCCACAAAGCCACTGGGCTGCTGGACTAGTTCCCACCCCCCCCCTGACCTGATCCACAAAGCCACTGGGCTGCTGGACTAGTTCCCACACCCCCCCTGACCTGATCCACAAAGCCACTCCATGCTGACGCTGGACTGGTCCCCACAACTTCTTCTCCCCCTCCGATTGTGGGGACTGAGGACCGCTCATGTGATCAGGCACAATGCAGGTTCTGTAGCCCTGCATAGTATGTGAGTTTGCAGAGGGACAGTCCACAGCCAGAGCGGAGGGGGACAAGTGGAGAATGCTGACTTCCGGGTGAGCGGGGGATCAGATAGTAAAACCAGTTTTCCCAGGTATAAATGAGCAGTTAACCCTTTCAGCGTAGGGACTGCCCCACTGCAAGGGAAAACTTTTTAACTTCCTGAAGTTAGGCTCAAAAAGTGCTGCAAGTAGGGGAAAAAAAATACCTGTTGCTGTACCAGAGATCCAGTGAGCTCCTCGCTTCCTGTGTCAGCTGACAACACTGCCTGTGCTGCCCAGCGGTGAATTATGTAGATGCATTGTGTACTGTTGCCATGGTTGCAAGGAAGAGAAATTAAACTTTTTAGCACTTGGTAAAATGTTAAAGAAAACCTTTTCTCTGTCCTAAAAAAGAAAAGTTATGATTTAGGATATTTCTTCCCCCCCCCCTTTCTCAGCCAACTGTTATGCTGGGAGCTGTCTGTCTTTTCATTGCACCTGGAATGCTGCAGGACCCCGACGCGTGTGCAGGACGTTCTAGCTTTGGCTCAGTGGTTAGCAGCAAAGCTCATTGCTGGGGTCTTGGGTTCAGTTCCCACCAGAGCTGCTGTCTGCATGTTGGTTTCTTGCTTTCTTCCTCATTGTAGTATATGGAGTAGAAGGTTCGCTGACTTCCACCCAACATCGGGCCTAGTATGTGGTGTTTGTGGGGTACCTGGGGGTAGTGAGTGTTGTGCTCCGCTCAATGGTCACTGTACAGTTTGTGGAATGGGATTGCTATATGCTAATAAAATGTTTCAGTACTTCATTACAGGTATTTATATCTCGCCGACCATTTCCACAGCGCACATTCACATCTGTCCCTGCCCTCAATGAGCTTACAATCTAAGGTCCCTATCTCGTATGCATGCATACAGGGCTGATTTAGACAGGAGCCAATTAACCTTCCAGCATGTCTTTGGCGTGTGGGAGGAAACCCCCACAAGCACAGGGAGAACATGCAAACTCCATGCACATAGTGTTCTAACCGGGATTTGGACCAGGGGCCCCCAGTGCTGCAAGGCTGAATTGCTAACCACTACGCCACTTCTATGCAGATGTGGAGCTAATCTGATTGCACCTTCTATTATTTGCTCCAGTCACATGTGACCTGCTGGGGGCGCTGTCAGCTGTCATCGTTTTATATGGCGCTTTCTACCCATTGCTGTTCTCTGGGGTCTTGAGGAGCAGTTTGTGAGATTCACCCGAATGGCCTCATTCAGAAGTGTGAACGAGGCCTAACTTTCTATAGACTGGCAGCCTACACAGCTGTTGTTCAAAAAGCTGCCCATACACATGTAGAATCAACCCAAATTGGATCTGTGGGTGGCACTGCCGTCACCGGTCAGTATACAGTAGCCGCTAGGGGAGATGTTACCCGTCCACACAAAGCTCTGAGGTGTTTTACGGGGGAGCGTGCAGAATTGTAAAGTGTGCGGGCAGCTTATTATTATACAGGATTTATATTGAGCTAACAGTTTGCGCAGCGCTTTACAATATAAAGAAGACATTACAATTACATTACAATTCAAGACAAGATGGTAAGGAGAGCCCCAATGTTAGTGAAATGAAGAGTTTCCCCTTGCAGCGGGGTTGCCCGTGCTCCGCAAGGTTTTACTGCTCGTGTATGCCTTGGGGGACAGGACAAATCGCTTTACTTACCTGATCCCCACTCACCCTGCGGTCAGCACTCACTCTTCTCTCCGCCGGTGTCCTCGCATACGATACAGGGCTATGAAGCCTGCATTGTACTTGATGACGCTATCGGTCCTTAGAAAAGAAGCTGCGGGGACCAGTCTAGCACCGGGAATGGGGATCAGGTAAGCAAAATAGCTTTTTCCTGTCCCCCTAGGTATAAACAGGCAAGTTAACCCTTGCAGTGCAGGCGGGGATCTTTGATTTGGGCTTTATGCAATTAGAAATTGATTGACTTCCAGCTTTGTGATCATTGATGAATTTCTTCACAGTACATGCAGGTAGAGAGGTCAGTGATGGCTAGTTTTGTTTTTTAAAGCTCTTTTACTACTTGTTGAGAAATATATAGAAGCATTAATGTCTGTCGTCTGGAAACGGGTGCACTTTAAAGTAGAATTCCGGGCAAATTAAATCCCCTCTTAACACCCCCACCCCCGCTCTGCAAGGGTTCATTGCTTGTTTTGTCTAAGGAGCTCAAATAACAAAGTTTATACTCGAACCTTTTAGCTGTCTGGCTCTTAGACCGGTTCCTTCAGCCTCACTCCCCCTCCGGTCTGGCAGTCTAAGGTCCTGTGAGCTGTCACGTCCCATAGAGTGTATAGGATACTGAGGGACATACCATTGCTGGAGTGGAGGAAGAGAGAGGTGCCAGGGACCGGTTTACGAGGCTCATGGGGGCTATAGACTAGGGATGCACAGATACCAATACTAGTATGGGTGCCGATGCCGAGTATTTGGGCGAGTACTCATACTTGCCCAAATGCCTAGCTTCATATTTCCGGCATCAGAAAGCCGGGCAGCGCATCATTACATGCTGGCCGGCTTCCTGATTGGCCGGGAAGAGGGCTCCATGCTCTATCGTCACTTGTCACGAGAGAGCATGGAGCCGGCTTCCCGGCCAATCAGGAACCCGGGCAGCGTGTAATGACGCGTCGGTCGGAAGCTGGCCAATCGGGAAGCCAGCCGCCGTGTAATGACGCGGCGCCCGGCTTTTTGAGTGGCCGGGAAGTCCTCTCCATGCTTTCTTGTCACATAGTGACGAGAAGCATGGGGACGGCTTCCCTGCTAGTCAGGAAGCCAGGTGGCGAGTCTTTACACGCCGCCTGGCTTCCTGAATGGAACATTCGGTATAGGAGAGTACCGGGAAAAAAGTATCGGTGCATCCCTATTGGGGTTTGGGGGGGGGGGGGGTAGTCTCACTGCAAGGATTAAGATTTGATTTGCCCAGAGTTCTGCTGGAAGCTGGCTCCTTTGGTGCCCTCAACCCACAGACATTATACCCAAGGTGACCTGTGTGCCCGGTCATCTCGTCTCATAGGGACAGTGATCCTTCCTGTGCTGTTTATTGCCCTGAAGAATTTGAACCAGCACAGCGCAGGCTCACTCGTAGATTGCAGGAAGTACGATTGTTCACATTTGTCTGCTCTGTAAAGGTTTTCAGAACAATCCGATGCCTTTTTCTAGCCTAATTTCTCCTATTAGCGTACGGAGAGTGCTTGTAGCCCTGCTGAACACATTCTCTGCTCCTTCACAGGTAATTGAGCCTCCGTTGCAAGGGTCCTCACTGACTATCCACCGGGATGAGTACTGCTGTGTCGTGACCCCAGGGGCCCTGGTGAGTAATGCCGATTCCTGGCCAAGCTTAATTAAACAAACCTGCTTGAAAAGAGAAATGTTAGAGAAGCCGGAGTGGAGGGAAGGGAGAGCAGAAGTGTTTACCAGTATGGAGATGTTTCATTCAGGCAGCCACCAGTCTGAACCTTTTCCTCCCCCGGGCCTCGGATCTAGAGAGAGAGAGAGAGAGAGAGAAAGTCTAATTGTTCAGAATCAGAACTGGTAAATCGGAGTGCAAATAATTACTAGGTACAGCGTGTTTACATAAGATCTGTATCAGTGCCAGCGAGTTCTCCTTGGGCACATCCAAGAGGTGCTGCTTATACATCAAACACACTGTTCGTTCTTTGTCAGGCTTTTGATGGCGTGGCATATATTTTTTTTGTTATTGTTTTTTTTGTTAAAGACACACCGTCGCCAACATACAAAATGCAGCTAAAATCTACTGCTTAAAGGCGAACTATGGGGTCAGTGTTTTTCCCCATAGTTCTCCTTAGGGTAACGGGAGGACACAAACTAGCGTCCTCCCGTTACCCTAAGCTCAGTATATAGGGAGCTACAGCTCGCGGTATACTGAGAAGCCGCAGCCGGGGTGGATCCCGACATTACTGTCGGGATCCACCCAGCTGCGTGAGTGACAGCTGGCTCTGCCTATCTAGAGGCAGAGCCAGCTGTACCTGTCCCCTTCCCCGTCTGTTCCGCCAGTCAGCGCTGGAGGATCGGACAGGATCAACAAGTAAACGAGCGACGGTATAAGTTCGCTCACTTCCCGATCCATTGAGCCGACCTGTGACAGTTTAATTGCCACATGTCGCCTTGAACTATGAGGCTGAGTGATTTTTCACTCGCCTCATAGTTCTCCTTTTAATCAGCTTATCAAGTGAATCCATAAGGTGAATAGTTGTCGACGATTCTCATTATCGATTGATCTGCACTAGATGAAACAAGAGACTGCACCCATTAGGAGAGAGCTATTGGCTGTGCCTGCCTATCCGTGCTGCAAGTCTAGCCGGAGGGCGGTGCTGGCCGTGGCGGCGGGATATGGGTTGAAGTGTAGTGCAGGAGGAGGAAGATGGAAGTTGTACGGAGTCGGTGCAGGTTTTGGAACTGCTTCTGGGTTTTGTCGGTGAGGAGGGCGAGAGCGAACGCAGCCTGCATTAAAGGAGAAATATGCGGTGAGTGCTTTTCCCTCACCTCATAGTTCTAGCCGACCTGTGACAATGAGAATCACAGGTCGGCTCAGTAAATCGGGAGGTGAGCGAACACATACCGGGTTCGCTCGCCTCTCGATCCTGTCACGGCTCTCTGCCGTGACAGGGGGAGGGGCTGGATTCTCCGCTCCAATCTGCCAGCGCTGACTGGCGGAACGGACGGTGGAGGGGGCGGGTACAGCTGGCTCTGCCTCTAGATAGGCAGAGCCAGCTGTCACACACGCAGCTGGGAGGATCCCGTCATCTACGTTGGGATCCGCTCCGGCTGCGGCGTCTCAGTATACTGTGAGCTGTAGCTCGCGGTATACTGAGCTTAGGGTAACGGGAGGAAGCTAGTTTGTGTCCTCCCGTTACCCCAAGGAGAACTATGGGGAAAAACACTGACCCCATAGTTCTCCTTTTTAAGAGGTGAGCTGCACAGCAGTCCCCATTCCCTGGGGGAGAGGGGTACTGAGGGCTGGGGGTCAGTAGTAGGAGCAGAGGCCGCAGTCCTCCCATGTCCGTCTGTCACTGAGGAGAACCCGGAGCCCACATCAGAGCTCTGTCCTGTCTCTGCCCAGTGTGATCAGATATTGTGTGCCGACCACCTACACTGATGACTCACTGACATCTCGCACACTGTACCGGCGCTGACTTACGGTCATGGACTGTCACACTGACATCTCACATACTGTAACCAGCACTGACATATGGGCATGGACTGTCACACTGACCTCTCACACACTGTACCGGTGCTGACTTACGGTCATGGACTGTCACACTGACATCTCACATACTGTAACCAGCACTGACATATGGGCATGGACTGTCACACTGACCTCTCACACACTGTACCGGTGCTGACTTACGGTCATGGACTGTCACACTGACATCTCACATACTGTAACCAGCACTGACATATGGGCATGGACTGTCACACTGACCTCTCATACACTGTACCGGCACTGACATGTGGACATGGACTGTCACACTGACCTCTCACACACTGTACCGGCACTGACTTACGGACATGGACTGTCACACTGTACCGGCACTGACTTACGGACATGGACTGTCACACTGACCTCTCACACACTGTACCGGCACTGACTTTTACAGACATGGACTGTCACACTGACCTCTCACACACTGTACCGGCACTGACATACGATAATGGACTGTCACACTGACCTCTCACACACTGTACCGGCACTGACTTACGGACATGGACTGTCACACTGTACCGGCACTGACTTACGGACATGGACTGTCACACTGACCTCTCACACACTGTACCGGCACTGACTTTTACAGACATGGACTGTCACACTGACCTCTCATACACTGTACCGGCACTGACTTACGGACATGGACTGTCACACTGACCTCTCATACACTGTACAGGCACTGACTGACGGACATGGACTGTCACACTGACCTCTCATACACTGTACCGGCACTGACTTACGGACATGGACTGTCACACTGACCTCTCATACACTGTACAGGCACTGACTGACGGACATGGACTGTCACACTGACCTCTCATACACTGTACCATGAGTCATTTGAGTGACAGATCTGAGTCTGCTGGGGCCGCTGACATCACATCCAAGATGGCAGAGAAACATTATATATACACACAGAATCTTATGGGAAGATTTTTGTGACCGGGTCTCTTTTAAAGCTGAACTTCAGATATTATGACTACAGAATTGCATGTATATGTATGTATGTATTTGTGTATGTATGTATTTGTGTTTATATCTTCCAAATGGGAATAGAGGTATTCAAGGATCTTGCCGAGAAGTCAAAGCATGCGCATTGTACAATAAAGTGCTTATGGGCAGCCAAGGCTCATTGATGGACGTTGGGGGTGAAGTCTGGCCTGTGTAGTCCAATCCAATAGGAAAGCTACTGTAGATCAAAATGCTGAAAGAGTTAATTCTGGTTCTGATGGAAAGGTGTCTGAACACACAGCGCATCGCAGCTTGTGGTGTATGGGGCCGTGTAGCTGGAGACCGGTCAGGGTGCCCACGCTGAGCCATCAGAACTGGACCATGGAGCAATGGAAAAAGGTGGCCTGGTGAGAGATGGCCCCAGGATGCACTATGGGAGGAAGACACGCCGGCGGAGGCAGTGTGATGCTTTGGGCAATGTTCTGCTGGGAAACCTCGGATCCCGTCATTCATGTGGATGTAACTCTGACATGTACCACCTGACCTAAACATTGTTACTGGCCAAGTACACCCCTTCATGGAAATGGTTTTCCCTGATGGCAGTGGCCTCTTTTACCAGGATAATGAGCCCTGCCACACTTCAAGAATGGTTTGAGGAACACAACGTGTTTGAGGTGATGACTTGGCCTCCAAATTCTCCAGATCTCCGTCCAATCGATCATCTGTGGGATGTGCTGGAAAAACAAGTCCGATCCATGGAGGCCGATCACCTCACAACTTACAGGACTTCAAGGATCTGCTACTGACGGCTTGGTGCCAGATACCACAGCGCACCTTCAGAGGTCTAGTAGAGTCCATGCCTGGCCGGGTCAGGAAAAGGGGGACCTACTCAGTATTAGGCGGGTGGTGATAATGTAATGGGGGGTCCGATTTATGTATTTCATCGCTATGCCCGAAGTTCAGCTTGAAGATGAAATCTCCCATTTTGTTGAAGAGAAATCCTTGGCTTGGTTTGTGTTCTGGAATTGAAGGGAATGTCCTCCTATTGTGGTTTAGTAGCTGAGACAAGATGTCAGCGAGTCCCTATAGGGCTCCATTCACACCTGCGCGGCTCTCTGCGCGTATTCGGCTGTACGGATATGCGCGGAGCCGTTCTAAACAGAAAATACAATGCACTTTAATGAGCACCGTTCAGACCATTGCGGGGGCTGCGTGGTATGAAACCGTGCGGCCCACGCAAATAGTGCGACAATCCGGCGAATTCCGCACGTTCGCGGCTATTAGCTGTAAACTAGCAGCATCCGTGCGGATTAAAAATATTAGCGGTTTTGTCCCGCACCGTCTTTCACGCGGGAACTGCAAATGCTGTGTGAGAATGCTGCCTTACTGTGGAAGCCGGTCGTGAAATGTTATTCTTCAGGTGATCCCTTTCTTTCATGTGTTCCTGTTTGTGAAAATCAGTTGGTGCTTTGCCTGGCTGTGATGTTTCTACAATGGTGTCCAGGACAGGTATGCTGATGGAGTTCTGATGGTCTTTCAGTGGTACCGCCTCCTCTCCTGGACTGAAATTGCTTCCTCCGATATCACTGCACACCATGAGCTCCTCACAATGTGCATTAGAAGCTGCAGCAAGTCAGATAGAGCCCGCCTCATTTCCTGGCCGGAGGACGTCCAGCATCATCTAGGACTTGCCTCCCCAGTTTGACCCTGGCCCCGCCCCTTTATTTCATTTTCATTATTGGAGGCTCAGCATTACCTTGGGCATTGTTCCTGCAAATGCATCCTGCCTAGGAGCGCCCACTTCTCCAGACTGACACCCACCTATCAAGGTATTTTGCATAACTCCTCCCATGATTCAGCCCACTGCTTGCTTCAGGGATTGAAGGCTCTTGAGGAGTACTGAGGCAGGGTGCTGTGATGTTTTCAGGAAACTATGTACAGCACTCTGTTGGCCCCTCCCACCAGCCATGATCTGTCTGCATTGCATAAAGGAGCACAGGGACCCAGTGATGTGACTAGGTCTGTAAAAAGGGTATGTAATGAAAACGTGTTCAAAATGTCATTAGCATGTTGAGGCAGAAAATAGTGAACCAGGAAGGTAAAATATAAGCAGATTAAACTTCAACTTTCATTAGGACCAGGGCAGCCATTATTATTTTACTGTTTGTTTTTAATTGGATGTGTGACGGCGGGCCCCTTCACACCAAGAAATAGTGCATGCAAGATTGTGTGTGCTCGCACCGCACTGGAACGCAGGGCATTGCTGTACCACGCAGTCCGGTACAGGCGGTTCTGCGGTGCCCATTGAAACGAATGGTACCGCCAGGCCCCAGAACGCGGAGAGCCTTTGATCTATGCGGTCCAGTGCGTTCATGTCACGGAACTGAAGTTGCTGTGACCCCCCCCCAATCACCAAATTCTCATTTTAGCTTTTAACTTGTAAATATTTCAAAAGTTCATTTCAGTATTTCAGAATATACAGCTTTCCTTCCTGCCCTTTCAGTCTTTGTTCAGGCACTTCTGATTATAGGGTGACAACGCTCTGTCCCGTCTCCTAATTGTGCCCTTGTGTTGTCACCCTGCCACAAGTGTCCGTAGAGGAGACTACTTGTGTTTGTCACACATGGTGCAGGCACGGTATTCTGTAGTCGCCGTCAGGAAGCCGGTCCAGAGCAATGATGTGCAGGTGATGCTGGAGGTAGTGCATATAGACAGGAAGTGGCTAAAAGAGGCTGCAAGAGCTCAGCAGCACTGAAACTGGGAAATAATGGCTGAAATTAGGTTGTTTTTTTAAATAAAAGGAAGTTGTTTCGTGCACAGTGCTTTATGTTGTTGTCCAGTTATGTGTTCGACCTACTTTATGCTTGCCATAGACCAGTGGTGGCGAATCTTGGCACTCCAGCTGTTTTGGAACTACAAGTCCCATGAGGCATTGCAAGGCTCTGAAAACAACAGCCATGACTCCCAGAGGCAGATGCATGTTGGGATTTGTAGTTTGGGCACAGCTGCAGTGCCAAGGTTCGCCACCACTGCCATAGACCGTTGCGTGTGTGTGTTCCTGTTCAGAGCAGCAGAGAAAGGAAAGGGTTTGAGGCCGGCAGACTCTATACGTTTGTCTTGGGGGAAGACGGTGATTGTTCAGGTTTTCTAACCAGCTGATCACTCCAAAGGAAGTTCCTCTGCAGCTTCGCTCCTCTCTAGACATCAGATTCGATGTCTGTGTTCCCCCCCCCCAGTGAGACGATGTGGTCGGGGGAAGTGTGTGAGTGCGGCGGTTGTGCTGATGGGTTTACGATTGGAGATTAAAGTGAGGTTTCCTCGAATGTCGGCCTTTTCCATATAGTCAGCTGATTCCGAAGCTTCTCTGCAATATAAAGCATCAAGCAGAAAATTCAGCCTGCCAGTAGACGGGTCACCATGCATGTCAATACATCTTTGTATCATCAAGTTTACAGTTCCTAAAAACTGTATGAGGACTTTCCTAATCTACCAATCGAATTGTATCCAATCGGGTTGCCCTTAGGTTGTACAATCAGATGGTTAGGCTCCTTTCACTCGAGCATTCTGATCAGGTCCGTCTGTCAGTTTTTCAGGCACACCTGATTGGAAGTCTGGTGTTAGTCTATGGGCAGCCGTAAGCAAAAGGGCGTCTATTTACATCCGGTTACCCTCAACTCTGGCCAGGTCTGGGGGG